GGGGGGTGGAGGGGGGGGCATCAGGACATGGGCCCACAATCATTATCCTGCAGTTTGTGCAGAGTGCTTCAACACTCATAATCATTTCACTTTTTCTCTCTCCATTCCAAGAGGCAGAAGCTCTTCTTTTCCAGTGAACTGATTGTCACACAAAAGCCTCTGTTCTCCGATTTCTGATCCCAGCGCCGCCGCCGCCGCCGCCGCCGTCGTTCCCGTGCACTCAACGTACAGATTCCCAGCTTTTTGTTTTCCCGGTGTTGGCAAAAATCCCTCTCAGTGGCACAATTTTCATTAGGAAGTGGCTGATGAGTCGAGCATGAATTATATAAGGCTTCTTGATCCTCTAAAAAGAGTCGTCCCACGAGACGCACCGTGAGACAGTTGGGTCTCCAGCTCCTGGGAGCTCATTGTTTCACAGTTTTTAACACTCCTGACTCCTCGTTCCCACCCTGTTCCAAAGCCCGTCCTCCCCTGGTGGTCAGACGTGGGTCTGCATGCGCTTCTGAAGGGGCCGCGTGAGGTCAGAGTTCTGTGAAGACGACTGGGAATAGTGGGAGGAGGAGGAGGCCGAGACTTTGCTGTCTTTGTCGAACTGCACGTAGCCGTCGGGCTTACTGTAGCTGCTGACGCTGCTGTCGCACTGCGTGTCGATGAAGGAGCTGGAGTCGCTGAGCGAGCCGCGCTGGAACTCGCGCTCGCACAGCTCGATGGAGCTGCTGCCCATGCCCAGGACGAAGCGCTGGCTGTAGTCGTACAGGCGGTTGGGGCCTGCCCCCAGAGTGGAGTAGATGTTGGTGAAGGACATGCCCGTGGGCACACGCTGCTTGCCCAGGGTACTGGTGTTGGTGGGATTCCTCCCCTCGGTCGACTGGTTTCCCGCCATGGTCGGTGTGCTGTGCTCTTTGAAGGTGTTCACGCTGTAGTAGCCGTTGGTCGGATCCTGTTTAAAACAAACAAGAAAAAAAGTCAGTGTTGTTGTCATTGGGGTTAAATTGATTGTCCTGTTTAAAACAAACAAACAAAAAAAAAGTCAATTATTGTTGTTGTCATTGGGGTTAAATTGATTAATAATCATAATTAATCACAATGGTAATTTATCTTGGTCAAAGTAAACTGTCCTTCTCAAATGATAGAAAACTTTTTATTTTATTTAACTGCAGGTAGATGAACGTGCGTCACTGTTTTTTTTTATTATTATTATTTGACTAATCCAAATGTCAGATGGAATTTTTAATATGGAAAATGTCAAGAAAATTATGCAAAAGTAAAACTTGAATCGTACTGAGTTGGTGGAATTCAAACTTCAGTGACAAATAACCAGCTACACTAGTCATTACCAACAGATGAACCAGACTGTGTGTTAATGTTGAACTCCCAGAGTGCAACACTGTTTGCAGATGACACTTTGTTGTCCATCATCTATGGTCCCTTATAAAGATTCTCTGTTTTGGACTTTGTGTTTGTCTCTAATCTTGAGTGTCATGTGATTAGTTATTGGTCACATTAACTCTCCTCAACTATTTTAAAATGAAATATTCTATAATAATAATAATATATATTATATATATACACTCACCGGCCACTTTATTAGGTACACCATGCTACTAACGGGTTGGACCCCCTTTTGCCTTC